TGCTTGAGGTCTCTGGAATGGTCAATATGAGAGGTTTTTTACATACTTTATTATATCTAAGAAACAACAAGAGTGATTGGGGTGGGGGTGGGGGGGGGGTATAATCAGGTCTGGATTCAAGGTCATCTTCAAGCCTGACCCCTAGCACCAGATGGTAACTTCTTCCTTATTTAAAAAACTTTCTCAGAACCCACAGTTTCTACACACACTTCCAGTATGGCCTCAGACCACAATATGAATGGCTGGAAAACAGCAACCAATGCAATTTTATAAGTCCAAGGGAAAAACGTGTTTTGCTGCACAAAGACAGATATAGTCTGCCAGCCCACTAACCACAGGCATGTACCAGTTTTTGCCAACCAGCATTATAAACCCTTTTTACAACTTACCTCTGTATTAGAATTGCTAATATTTAAGGATAGTTCCACCATTCACAAAAACAGAGGGACAAATGTCTGTGTTTTAACTATCATTCTAACCTGGGCTAAGAATTTTCCAGTTTAACAAGAATTACTTGTTGCAAAGAGGCTAAACTACAGGATTTTGACCCGGAGGAGGGGGGGGGGGGGAGAGATAAACATCTAGTGATCATGCACACTACAAATGTGTATTGGTTTTAATCAAGTACTTTCCCAAGTTGAATCCCTATAACTTTGTAAGTAAAGTGTTCCAAAATAGTTTTATAAGTTGCACACTGAACCAAACAAGTTGATATTATAGCAAAACATCTGTACATGGACTAATGCAACATTAGCAAGGTCTACTTGGAAGCCTTTTCCTTCTTTACATTTGAATAGCTATATGTATTGTTATATGTGTGGGGGGGGGGGGAATAAAACTCTCACACTATAACATCCCTTCTTATATTAACAATGGTGAAGAAGGACATGGTTCCAGAGGCTTTGAAACAGCATAAGAGGACTAAAGAGTTCTTCTCTACTGCAATTTCAAAAGGTCAGGGTGACCTGTCAGAGTTTAAAGTAAAGTGAGCACACACTCAAGCTCAGAAGCATCATATTTCAAACTACTCTGTACTTTTTAACTTTATTCAAGATAAATGTAGCATTTTAGACTGCTCTGTACTCTCCATCTTTTCAAAGTAAATAGGAATTCACATTCTGACCATCCAAAGGCAGATACCCTATATACTCATGTAACAGATTAGAAGTTTTATTCAAAACATCAAATCAAAAAAGATGGGTCAACTTATCAGTGGGTCAATATGCGTACTGTACCTTATACTCATGTAACAGATTAGAAGTTTTATTCAAAACATCAAATCAAAAAAGATGGGTCAACTTATCAGTGGGTCAATATGCGTACTGTACCTTAATTCTTAGCGCAAAAAAAAAAAGAATCATATCTTTTACTGAATCATGTAGAGAAAGGCAAGAATACAGTCCATTCCAGGATAATCTAAAAGAGGAACTGGATCCTCCTCTACTTTCTCCCACATGGCATAACTTCTTTTTGATTGACTAAGTGGTAAAAGCTGCTTTACCCCTCTGAGGAATAATGCTTGACTTATCCATGCTTAATCCCAAAACAATAATTCTGGTCACAAAACCTATCCTTGACTCCTACATTAGTACACATGCCATTTTATTGTTTTGGGAAAACATAAGATTATTCTTCTGAATCATACAGACATGAGTATGTTTTTTAAAAAGCCATACTGAAGAATATCCAAAATCTAAATGTTATAATATTTTTAAGTTTTACAATAGGTGCAGGTACACCATTCCCCACCATTAGAAAAACCACCTACTTACAGATGCAGTAGAAACCCAATCTTAGTCAGGGAGGGTGCTATTCAAAATGACGACTTGGGAGGGGAAGGGGTTGACAACTCTACCAACTATTTTTCTCCTTTCCTCCTGTGCCTAATGCCACAGTAGGAAAGGAGGTGGCACAGTTCTGAAGAGTAACCCACTGCTTCACACCTCTCTCAAAGAACTTTCAGCCAAGCAATAACACAAGTGCCAAAATAGGACATTGGCCAGCACAACTCTCCTACAAACTCATCAGGCCAACATTCTTTTCTTTGGAATGGTCCTTTATCCAATATGACTCCAAGGCTACCCTGTCCACAATGTTTCAATCTGTGGAGAGATTCTACTGCTTCTCTGGACTATACTAGAGGATTTAACAAGCCACATGCAGTGATTAAAAGCCAGTTTAAAACAAGGGGCTGAAGATGTAGTCAATGGCAGAAACCAGACTGCCTTAGATAGCAAGATAACCTGTGCTGTTCTTGGTAACACTAGTCTTTCAAAAAATATAAATTTTGAGGATGGAAAAGAATAATTATGAAAATTAACATAGTTCTCCCTATGCCGGACAGGATGTGAATTCCATCTGCATAGCTCCAAACACATTCCTCGCATGAAATAGTTAGTACAAGTTTTATGTTGAATTGTACAGAATTTCTTAAGATAAAGAGGAGACCATCTCTTCAGTTTCTGGGCTTTGGAAAAAAAAGAACTAGTAATGGTCTTAGCCCATACTACTTAGATACTTTGCCATGTATGAAGTATAATACCATTCATTTCCAGCAACTGCTATGGCCAGAAATACAGAGAATAAAACTGGCATATACTCCTCTTTGCCAAACTTGCATGAAAAGTTGAATAAGTGTTCCCTTTTGACTTTCCAAATGCTAAAATCCCACAAAGTACTATGCTCCAAGACATAGCTCAATATGGCTTACATCCAATTCAGTCTCAAATAGAGTGGAACCATTGAATCAACTCTTACATAAATTCCACTGACTCAACGCTTTCCTCTACTTGAGACTAACATCAAGCATTTTCATGGTAATACTAAACTTATGGTTTGGTATATCTTGATATGTAAAAAAATGAACGTCCTCTTGCATTATTTGGCATTAAGCTTCTTTAAATTCCTGAAATCGCAGTTTCTTGTTGCTATTTATTTACAGGGGATTCACTATTATATGCAAAACCTTGCAGAGAAGACAAGGCCTGTTTTTTTTCTGAAGGCTACTTTCCTTATGTATCTCACATGGGTGTGTGAAACTCATGTTAGTTAAAAAAAAACCCCGTCATTGTGTACAGTATAAAATTAAGTGGTTTCTGCCATGAAATTGCGTCCCCTTCCAAATTTCAATTGTAATGGCATCAACACTATGGAATGTAAAATACAGTGGAATCTACTTTTAATACTGCAATCTGACCTAGACGTTATGTCACCTTTTGGCTGTCATACATCCCAAGCATGAGCACGCAGCAACTGTGGAAGAAAACAAACATCTTTCCAGGATTTACCTGAACCAACACTTCAATCCACTCATCCATTCATTAATCTTGTGGAGGATTCCCACTTGCCCAAATGTAAGGAAAATATCCTGAAGCCACAAAATACATTTCTGCTTCCTCTTACCATTTTTTGTTTCCCATACCAGACACTACAGAAGACTGTTGTAACCTGGGACCCTTTCATGCTACATAATTATAACACTATGATTCCTAATTAACTGCCATGGCCCTACTCTACGGAATCCTAAAAAGTTTCACTTTTAGGGAAGGGCAGTTAAAATTCTTCGCCAGAGAGAATTATATTGCAGTGATTCCTAAACTTTAGTTTTTCCAGAAGTCTCAGCTGCTTTTGCTGTCTGGACTCTGAAGTCCCAAACACATGGAAGATCATAGTTTGGGAAACACTGATTTAAAGTCTCCCCAAACTTTGAATCCTAGGATTCCAAAGGATGCAGCCATAGAAATTAAAGTGGTATCATAGTGTAACAATTGTACAGTGTGCAAAGGACCTTGGAAGAGACACCCTTTTTATTTTCAGAGCAATTTTATTTCAGAGCTCTTCTTCATGTTACAAAAGTCTACTCTTGCCAAACATCTTGCCCTCAACACACAACCCCTTATTCACAGACACACACTTCCATGTTGTAAAAGCACTTGGAATCTCAATCAATGATTCATATCACTTCCATCTCTTATTTATTTCAGACTATAAGACTGCCCACTGAAGTCTACTTAGAAATCCCTGTGGGTCTTAGTGGCAACATCCAACCTATGAAAGAGGGTACCATGTTAATGGGTGGGGAGGGGGGCTTCCCGTCCATCCTTAATCACCTTTCAGATAAGAAGCAGGGTAGACAAATGTATCTTGGTCTGCTTACTGCCTTTCCGAAACAAGCACATCTGGCACACATGTGAAATTATGACTGAGTTTAAAAGGCACTGCCATTGCTCAGTGCTATGGAATCCTGGAAGTTGTAAGGTGTATCTACACTACTGAATTAATACAGTGTGACACTTTAACTGCCAGTGCTATAGAATCATGAGAGTTGTAGTTTGGTGAGGAACCAAGACTCTTTGGCAGAGAAGGCTGAAGCCCTTGTAAAACTCCAACTCCCAGACTTCTATAACATTGAGCTAGGCCAGTTAAAGTGGTGGCAAGCTACTTTCATTCTACTGAATAGATCAGTGATCCCCAACCTTTTTTTTTTTTTGAACCAGGGACCACTTACCAATATTAGTACCAAAAGGGGTTACAAATCAGTTTTTTGTCAACTTTAGATTCGGTTTGGGCATTTGGGGTGCTGATTCAGAAGATTGCATTGGATAGACCACATCAGCTTTAGTTTCTGACACAGAACAAATGCCATCCAGTAGTCACCACCTGCTTGACCACAGAAAACCATATTTAATAAGCCTTGGCACTATAAGAGGGGTCCGCGAGACCAGTTGCTCTCATTGCAACGGTGAGGCAGCAGACCATGTTTTAGTTCTTGCGTACCAGTGGTAGTCCACACACCACAGGTTTGGAACCACTGACATAAATGCATACACCTTGGGATGGCTCCTTGACCTCCAAAGTATAACTTTGGGTGAGCAGAGATGCCACCAGAGAGATGGAAGCGGTGTGAATTTTTCCGTTTCTGTGCCTGGGGACTCAAAAGAAAAAGAATAACAATAATAACAATAATAATAATAATAATGCCCCTGGGCCTTTGGACTCACCGAGCTCCAGGGCCTGGTTGTACTTCTCGAGGGCAGCGGGCACGTCCTGCTTCTCCTTCAGGGCCTCCCCTTCGAGGCCTAGCCGCCGGGCCCGGCTCTGCCCGGGGAACCACTTCTCCAGCAGGTTGCCCAGCACCACGTTGACCCGCAGGCCGGCGGGGAGGGTGCCGGGAGGGCGGCCTGAAGAAGCGGGGCAAGCGCCGCACCGCACCGCCGATGGGGACGAGGAGGAGGAGGAGGCCTCGGCTCCTTGGGCGGCGCAGCGCTTGCAGAGGGTGTGCCCGCAGTGCAGGGTCACCGGCTCGGCGAGGAGGCGCAGGCAAAGCGGGCAACCCAGGGGCTCCGGGGGCCGGCAGCAGGAGGGCTCGCTCCCTTCCGGAGGAGGCGGCAAGGAGGAGGGAGAGGAGGAGGTGGTGGTGTTGTTGTTGATGCCATGGCCGGCCTGTCCGGGCCCGGGCCAGGGGGGCAGGCGCAGCTCCTTGTGGCGGAGCGTGAGGGCCAGGCCTTCGGCGAGCTGGCGGAGCTCCTCGGGGCGGAGGCGGGCCTGGCGGGCGGCGGCGCTGTAGGCCTCCAGGGCCTCGGCCACCCTCCCGGCGCGGGCCAAGGCGTCCCCGCGGCGCAGGCACAGGCCCCGCTCGGGCTGCGGCACCTCGGCCAGCTGCGAGCTCAGGATCTCCGCCGCCAGGGCGAACTGGCCCCCGCGGAAGGCTTCCTCGGCCACTTGCAGCATCTCCGCGCAAGGCTGGGGCGGAGGAGGAGGCTGGGCGGCGGGGCTGAGCTCCATTGTGTCGAGGTGGGTGTGGTGCCGCTAGCGCCCCATGCCCAGCGAGGAGGCCTCTCCGCCGCGGCCTTCTCTTTCTTCCCCTCTCGCTAAACGTCCCTCCTCATCACGCCTTGAGAAGGGAGTCCTTTCTTCTTCGCTTGAGAAGGGACTCCTCTCTCTCTTCCTCCCTCTCTTCCTTCCTTCGACGGGGTCAAGGGGAGGAGTCCTGGGCTGGCTTTCTCTCCCTCACGAAGCAGGAGACTATTCTGGGCGCTTATGCAACGACGCCCAGCGGTTGTATAACTCTATCACTCACTCCTTCTTCTCCCCGGCTGAGGGCAGCAACAGCAACAACAGCAGCAGGACCGCCCTCTCCGTCTCCGGGCCCGGTGAGCCCGCCGCACATGCCCCACCACCAACACGTGGGGAAGGCCCGGCCCCGCGCGGCTCCTCCTCCTCCTCCTCCTCCTCCTGACGAGAAGAAGAGAAAGAGGGCCACCCGCCGCCTCAGGCCCAAGAGGACGCTTCTCCCTCGCGCACGCCTGCCCGCCCGCGCGCGGGGCTTTTTACGTAACGGTCGCTTCTTTTCCCCAAAGGGAGACAGAGAGAGAGAGAGAGAGCCGCCTTATGTAAAGTTCGCTGGGCTTGTGTGCGCGTGCACATACGGGCGCGTGCGTTTTGCTTGAGGATTCCTCACAGCCTCAGGCCCTTTCTTCCCTCCAGGTGTTTTGGACTTCAGCTCCCACCATTCCTCACAGCCTCAGGCCCCTTCCTTTTCCCCCTCAGTAAGCGGCTGAGGGGGAAAAGGAAGGGGCCTGAGGCTGTGAGGAATGGTGGGAGTCCAAAACACCTGGAGGGAGGGCCCATGCCTGGTCTACACTTCCATATAATATAATTCAAAGCAGATAACCTGGATTTTTATATGGCTGTGGAGATAGAGAAAGGGCTACAGTTGAATTAATGCATTTTGACACCGGGTTGTTGTAGGGTTTTCGGGTTGTATGGTCATGTTCTAGAAGCATTCTCTCCTGCCACAGATGCAGGCGAAACGTCAGGAGAAAATTCTTCTAGAACAGGGGGCCACAAACTTTTTAAACAGAGGGCCAGGTCACAGGCCCTCAAACTGTTGGAGGGCCGGATTATAATTTGAAAAAAACATTAATGAATTCCTATGCACACTGCACATATTTTATTTGTAGTGCAAAAACCACTTAAAAACAATACAATAATTAAAATGAAGAACAATTTTAACAAATATAAATTTATTAGTATTTAAATGGGAAGTGTGGGCCTACTTTTGGCTGATGAGATAGGATTGTTGTTGTTGTGTGCAACCTAAGTCGTTACAGACTTAGGTTGACCCTAAGCGAGGGCCGGGTAAATGACCTTGGAGGGCCGCATTTGGCCCCCGGGCCTTAGTTTGAGGACCTCTGTTCTAGAACATAGCCATACAACCCAAAAACCTACAATAACCCAGTGACCCTGGCCATGAAAGCCTTCAGCAAAGATTTTGACACAAACTACAACTCCCTGAGTTCCATACCCTTGAGCCATAGAGGTTAAAGTGGAACCAAACTGCATTAATTCTACAGTGCGGACGCGCTCTCAGGAGAACTGACATCCAGACAGACATGATGTCAGGGCAGCAAGCTTGTTTTCTGCTGCCCCGGAGACTAGGACGCAGAATAATGGCTTCAAACTACAAGAAAGGAGATTCCATCTGAACATTAGGAAGAACTTCCTGACTCTGAGAGCCATTCAGCAGTGGAACTCTCTGCTCTGGATTGTGGTGGAGGCTCCTTCTTTGGAAGCCTTTAAACAGAGGCTGGATGGCCACCTGTCGGGGGTGCTTTGAATGCAATTTATTTATTTATTATTTATTTATTTATTTGCTGCATTTGTTGACCGCCGCTCTCAGCCCTAGGGCGACTCGCGGCGGTGTACAACATATAAAAACAGTTTACAAAAGTACAACAAGAAATCAACATATCATATTACACACTAATCTAACTTACACTAACTAATCCGCATCGTCACGACATAGAATCATAACCAATCTCATAGTCCATATTCCGTTCCAGATTGTCATTACCAGCTAATATAGCACTCAGTTAAATGCCTTCTCAAAAAGCCAGGTCTTTAGGCTCTTACGGAAAGCCATAAGGGAGGGCGCCTGTCTGATGTCAACAGGGAGGGTGTTCCACAGCCGGGGGGCCACCACTGAGAAGGCCCTTTCTCTCGTCCCCCCAGACGTGCCTGTGAGGCAGGCGGGATCGAGAGAAGGGCCTCCCCAGACGATCTCAAGGCCCTCGTGGGCTCATAGGCCGAGATGCGGTCCGAAAGGTATTTTGGGCCGGAACCGTTTAGGGCTTTGTAGGATAACACCAGCACCTTAAATTGGGCCCGGTAGCAGATCGGCAGCCAGTGGAGCTGGGACAACAAGGGCGTGGTATGCTCCCTGCGTCCCGCTCCCGTTAGTAACATGGCTGCCGCGCGCTGGACTAGCTGAAGCTTCCGGGCCATCTTCAAAGGGGCAGCCCCACGTAGAGAGCGTTGCAGTAGTCAAGGCGGGATGTGACCAAAGCATGTACCACCGTGGCCAAGTCAGACTTCCCAAGATACGGGCGCAGCTGGCGCACGAGCCTAAGCTGTGCAAATGCTCCCCTGGTCACCGCTGAAACCTGGGGATCCAGGCTCAAGGATGAATCCAGGGTCACACCCAAGCTGCGAACCTGCGCCTTCAAGGGGAGTGTGACCCCGTCCAGCACAGGCTGTAACCCTATACCCTGTTCGGCCTTGCGACTGACCAGGAGTACCTCTGTCTTGTCTGGATTTAATTTCAGTTTGTTCGCCCTCATCCAGACCATTACAGCGGCCAGGCACCGGTTCAGGACCTCGACAGCCTCCTTAGTAGCAGGTGGAAAGGAGTGACAGAGTTGGACATCATCTGCATACAGATGACACCGCACCCCGAAACTCCGGATGATCTCACCCAGCGGCTTCATGTAGATATTAAACAGCATGGGGGACAGTATAGAGCCCTGTGGAACCCCACAGGTCAAAGGCTGTGGTGTTGAACAGGAGTCCCCCAATAACACCTTCTGGGTACGACCCTCCAGAAATGACTGGAGCCACTGCAGAGCAGTGCCCCCAAGACCCATTTCCGCAAGGCGCCCCAGAAGGATACCGTGGTCGACGGTATCGAAGGCCGCTGAGAGGTCCAGGAGCACCAACAGGGACACACTCCCCCTGTCTAGCTCCCGGCGCAGATCATCCACTAAGGCGACCAAGACCGTCTCGGTACCATGTCCCGGTCTGAAACCAGACTGTGCCGGATCCAGAATATCCGTGTCTCTCAAGAATACCTGGAGTTGTGAGGCCACCACGCTTTCCATGACTTTGCCCAAAAACGGGAGATTGGAAACAGGCCGAAAGTTGTCAAATTTAGTGGGGTCCAATGATGGTTTCTTCAACAGCGGTTTTATAATTGCTTGTTTTACGCACGCTGGAATCTTGCCTTCCCGAAGGGAGGCATTAACCACCACCGTTACCCACTCAGCCAATCCCCCTCTGGCCTCCTTCAGAAGCCAGGATGGGCAGGGGTCTAGGATGGACGTGGTGGGCCTCATTCCTCCAAGTATCTTGTCCACATCCTCGGGTTTCACAAATTGAAAAGAATCCATCAAAATAGGACAAGCAGGTGCTCGTGTCACATCCTCAGAGACTGCATTTAACATGATGTCCAGCTCAGAACGGATCAAAGCGACTTTGTCTGCGAAGAACCGAGCAAATGCTTCACAGCGCGTGACCGAATTGTCAGGGCTCCCGCCTGAGGTGGCGGGAGTTAAAAGACCTCTGACAATCCGAAACAACTCCGCCGGACGGTTTTTTGCAGACGCAATAGTGGCCGCAAAGAAAGTTTTCTTTGCGGCTTTTATTGCCGCGGCATATGCCCTTAAAAAGGACACAAACCGTGCTCGATTAGACTCGCTTGGGTCCGAACGCCACACGCTCTCTAGTTCCCTCTTCCTTCGCTTCATCACTGCCAGCTCCTCAGTAAACCAAGGAGCTGGTTTAGCTCGGCTACTTGAGAGGGGACGTTCCGGAGCGATCACGTCAATTGCCCTGGCCATCTCCCCATTCCAGAGAGTGACCAAGGCCTCGACATGGTCACCTACCGAGGAGGCGGGAAAATCCCCAAGAGCCGTCAGGAATCCATTCGGATCCATAAGCCTCCTGGGGCGGACCATCTTAATGGGTCCTCCACCTTTGCGGAGGTTAGGGGGTGCAGTGAGCCTAAATCTGATCAGGAAGTGGTCAGTCCATGGCAACGGAGAGATAGACAACTCCTCCACACCGCCACCCTGCTCCCATCCCTGGCAGAAAACCAAGTCCAATGTGTGTCCAGCACAGTGGGTGGGGCCAGATATTTGTTGGGACAGCCCCATGGTTGCCATGGCAGACATGAAGTCCTGAGCCGCTCCTGTGAGGGTCGCCTCGGCATGGATATTGAAGTCTCCCAGCACCAAAAGCCGTTGAGACTCCAACACCAGGCTCGAGACTACCCCCGCTAGCTCAGGTAGGGAGACTGTAGTGCAGCGAGGTGGACGGTACACTAGCAGAATCCCTATTCTGTCCCGGTCACCCATCCTTAGGTGGACACATTCAAAATTTGTGGTCTGCGGGATGGGGCTCCTGGTCAGATGGATGGAATCTCTATAGACCACTGCAACCCCGCCTCCCCGTCCTCCGGATCTCGGTTGGTGCTGTACGGAGAAGCCTGGAGGACAAAGCTGGGTCAGATTCACACCCCCAGCTTCATCCAGCCAATTTTCCTGCTTCTTGGCAGTAGTTGGACTGGATGGCCCATGAGGTCTCTTCCAACTCTATGATTCGATGACACGGGATCCCAAATCTGTCCCTAACATTAATAGCTTCTCGGTGAGGATTGTTCATTTGGTTTTTTTTTTATTGATTGACATGTTTTTATCCCAGTATTTTGTCAGGAGATCTCTGGATGACAAACTTACAAAAGAATGTAAACAATACCAAATTAAAACCAGGGAATAATTACTTTGGACCCTTCCACACAACCGTATAATACAGAATATCAAGGCATACAATTCCACAATATCTGCTTTGAACTAGGTTATTTGAGGGCACTTCCACATAGCACTTTATCCCAGGAGCATGCGCGTTCAAAACACAGGTGTACTTGGGCCCCTATCCACACATACCACAGAAAGCACCGGGGTTGTGTGTATGTGGATAGGGGCCCAGGTACACCAGGGGTGGGTGTCCAGATGTTCTCCTGGAACTTTCTTG